TTTTTCGCTCGATTTCTCGCTTCGATTCGGTTTGTGCTGTCGCGTTGCGCCGTGGAAGCGTCGCCACCTTCGCGCGTTCTGGCAAGTTTACTGCAACTTGCCAACACGAAACAAATGGTGCGTAAACGTACCAATGATTCAGCAGCGGGCCCTTCAAAGAAGGTGGTAATCCAGCACAGCGCGTCGCAGGATGACGCCGGAAAACGGGTACTGCAAGCCAACCAGTTTGCGGTGCTCCCCGAAGAAAATGGCGATGGTGACGTCGTTCCCATCGCTGCAAGAGAGCGGATTCCCCCGCTTTTCACGCCGGAGAAGGATGTTGCCAAGCTGCGTGCCGAACTGGCAAAACACAAGCTGCTGCCTCGCTTCAAGCTTTGCAGCATCGGCACCAAAATCATGTGCTCCAGCCTGGAGGAGTACAATCAAACAGGATGTTTCCTAAAGGAAAACAACGTTGACTTCTTCACGCACGATCTGCCATCGAGCAAGCCACTGAAGCTGGTATTGCGTGGATTACCGTCGTTCGAGGCGGCTGTGGTTAAATCCGAGCTGGAGCGGCTTGGGCTCAAACCTGAGGCGGTGTTCCCAATAAACCGGCGTTCCAACCACAACACCAGCTTCCGTGACCAGTTGTTCCTGGTGCACTTCACGAAGGGATCCACCAGTCTAGCGGTTCTGAGATCCAAAATCCGGGACCTGTTTCAGGTCATCATCAGTTGGGAACATTACAAATCCCAACATCGTGATGTTACGCAGTGTATGAACTGCCTCTCCTACGGCCATGGCACCAAAAACTGCCATATGAAGACTATCTGCGGCAAGTGTGCTGGAACTCACTCGACTGCGTCCTGTGAGCAAGATGATGACATCGAGCCAACGTGTGTCAACTGCGGTGGTAACCACCAAGCCTCCAATCGCGGATGTCCCAAGCGAGTGGAGTTCATCAATATCCGTCGGAAGGCTACGATCAATAATCAGCCCGGTCGCCTCCGTAATCATCGTTCGCCTCCTGCACGCACGGAAGTCCAGTACCCAGCTCTCCAGCCCCGTCGACATGTTCCGAACTTAGAACCACTTCCGCTCAACAACCAACAAGTCAAGCATGTGAGTATTCCTAACAATCGAACAGTCCAACATCGTCTCGCTGCTGCTGCTGCCCAGCCAATGCCAGGTCCCTCCACCGCCCCTGGTTTATCATACGCTGGTGTTGTCTCAGGTGAGCCTGTCGACGATTCTCCGTTCTCCTCGGAGGAACTTGTAACGCTCGTGGCCGAGGTCATCATCATCTTGCGCACCTGCAAGACTCGATCTGAACAGCTTCATGCTGCCCTGTCCCTTGTCACTAAGTATGGACCGTGAAGCCATCAAGATCGTAAATTGGAACGCTTGCTCCTTGAAGAGCAAAAACATCGAGTTTGTTGAGTTTCTCAATGAACGAAACATCGACATTGCCATCATAACTGAAACCCACCTGAAGCCTGAAACAAACGTCTACCTTCCCGATTTCCGGCTCGTGAGGCTAGATCGAACCAACTCTGGAGGAGGAGGAGTGGCTATTGCAATAAGGAGAAACATCTGCTGTCGACTGATGCCCAGCTTTCAGCTGAAGATCATTGAAGCCGTAGGGGTGGAAGTTTCTACTCCTATCGGCCCCATCACCATCGTCGCGGCTTACTGCCCCAAACAAGTCAACATCAGGGACGGATCGGCAGCAGATCTGCGACGAGATATTATCAAGCTAACACGACGACGGGAAAACTTTATCATCGCTGGTGACCTGAACGCCAAACATCTAGCTTGGGGCAACAATCGGCGCAATCAAAACGGCACCATCCTGAACAACGACCTGCAGGAAGCGCAGTACAACATCTTGAGTCCGGAAACTCCCACCCGGTTGAGTCGGTCCGGTGTTCACGCTACCATCGATATCTTCATCAGCAACATGGGCAACAACATCGCTCAACCTATCACCTATCAGGAACTCAGCTCGGACCACTACCCGGTGGTGACTGAGGTGGGATCCTCCGTAAATCGATTTGAAGCTTTCCGGCGCAACTATCATCGTGTTGACTGGGGTCAGTTCCAACATTGCGTCGACACCGCTGTAGACTACGATGTCCAACCGGAATCGTCCGAAGATGTTGACCGGTGTCTGCGCTCCATTGATCAAGCAATTCCCCGGGCCAGGGAGCTACATGTGCCAGTATCCAGACAGGTGAGTAATACTCTGAACCTTGACAGGCCTACTAAAGACCTCATTAGACTCCGCAACACGATTCGTAGGCAGTACCAGCGTACTGGGCTGCCTAACCTGAAGACCAATTGCAACCGTTTGAACAAAATCATCTGCAGTATCACAGGCAATGGCTAGTGTCGCTGCCACCCCCGTAGTTGTCCCTGACGAAAGTAGAATATCGGGTGATGAGGTGATAGCAGCGATTAAATCAACAAAGAACATGAAGGCCGCTGGTGTCGATGGAGTGGTCAACCTCGAGCTGAAAAACTTGAGTGTTGACTTCTTCAAGCACCTTGCAGTGGTCTTCAACAAGTGTTTAATGCTTGGCTACTTCCCTGCTTGCTGGAAGCTAGCCAAAGTTATTCCAATTCACAAACCTGGCAAAGACCCTAGCAGTGCCAAAAGCTATCGCACGATTGTCTTGTCCTCCATCTCGAAGCTATTCGAAAAATTGATACTCAGCCGTCTGCTGGTGTTTTCAAATGATAATAACATCTTTCTCAAAGAGCAATTCGGGTTTAGGAAAGGCCACTCTACCATCCACCAACTCTCACGGGTTACTAACATCATCAAGCGGAACAAGTCCGTTTCCAATACATCTGCCATGGCATTGTTGGACGTCGAGAAGGCGTTCGACAATGTCTGGCATGATGGTCTAGTGTACAAGCTGCATCGATACAACTTTCCGAACTACCTCGTGAAGATCATCAAAAACTACTTGTCGGGCAGATCATTCCAGGTCTACTTGAACAATGTCTCCTCTGATACGTTCAACGTTGATGCAGGGGTCCCTCAAGGTAGCCTGCTTGGGCCTATCCTATTCAACATTTTCACGTCAGACGTTCCTCCCCTGCCGGGTGGTGGTATCCTGTCAATGTTCGCAGATGACACCTCCATCATCTATAAGGGTCGAGTGATCCGTGCTCTGGCGAGTAAACTACAATCAGGCCTGGATGTTTTGTCCGACTATTTTAAGAGCTGGAAGATTTGTATCAATGCAGCTAAAACACAAACCATTCTGTTTCCACATTCGTATTCACCTCGGCTTGTTCCCCCTGCTAACGTCAAGATCCATCTTGATAGCACTCCCATTGAATGGTCGAGTGAAGTAGTCTACCTTGGTCTCACCCTCGATAGCAAATTGCTATTCCGATCCCATGTGGACAAGACATCCACCAAGTGTAACATCTTGATCAGGTCGCTCTACCCTCTGATAAACAGGAAGTCCACCCTGTCCCTCAAAAACAAGCCTGCTGTCCACAAGCAAATCATTCTGCCGGCTATTGAGTATGGTATACCAATCTGGGAGAGTTGTGCAAAGTGCCACCACTTAAAGCTTCAGAGGATCCAAAACAAGATCCTCAGAATGATCCTTAACAGTCCACCGCGAACTCGTAATTCTGAGATTCGCCACCTGGCCGGTCTTCAAACACTCGAGGAGCGAAAGACTTCCACGCTGGAAAGGTTCAAAGTCGCCTGTCTGCGATCAAACCACCAGATCATTCGTGATTTGGCAACCTAGTTTAAGTAGTTAGGTGCTCAAGTAGGTAGGTTATCAAATTTTTAAATTCAAACCAAAACAATCCCACAAAGGGTATCCTGTAAATTAGCGCTAAACGCAATCATCACATTAGAATAACAAATTAACTAGAATAAAGATGAAGAGCCAAAGGCTAACCAATTGAAATGTTAAATCAAATGTTGAAACATAAAACCCAGAAAATAAACGTAAATTTTACTACTACTGCTCATTTTCGCTTCAGACGGCGTGGTCAGCAATTGCAGCAGAAGGTCGTGGCTGGTCGTGGCAAAGGAGGTGCCAATCGTCATCGCAAATTCTTCGAGGTAACCACCATCCGTCGTCTGGCTCGCCGTGGCAGTGTCTGACGTATCTCCGGTCTGATCTACGAGGTGTGCTGAAGGTGTTCGTGGAAAATTAGGTCCGTGATGCTGTCACGTACTCTAAACACGCCAAACGTAAGTGGCCATGGATGTCCTCTTCAATAAAACGGCCCTTTTCAGGGCCATCAAGCTTACATCAGTAAAGAGTTGGAATAGAATTTATCTGTGCTTGTTTGTCCATATTCAGAACCACAAGCCCCCAACGACCACACGCACTTGGAAGCAGGGGTGCAAGTGATTTTGATTGATTCTCGTAATCAACTTTCTTTTTGAAAAAGATTACCACAAATTTGGATCGCCTACAATTCAAAAACGGAAGGAGTTGAGATAATAAATATTATTGATCAATTAAAAGAACTTAATGCTCTTCACATTTATTCCGTCCACTAGCGGTCCTACGTCAAGCTTCCGTTCGTGCCCCTAGGCACAGACCCTTCTACTTTTTTAATTCAACCGCTAGTCAGATGCTACTTGCAGTATGTTGAATTGACCACTTTGTCAAACAGTTTTGGCGTGACTTTCTACCAGCGATTTCACAAAACTGCACCAACTAATTTCTATTTTTTATGAAACGCACAAATGTTGGCTACTTTTCTCGTGGTTCTAGAAGAAATCTCAAAATAATGTTTTATTTCAAAGTTCGAAGGGGAATTAACGTCATTTTAACTGCTCGAATAAAGTGGTTAATGCAAAATGATGACGAAATTTGATCTTGCTGTTGAGTGGAGCCGCATGCAGGGCAAGACCCAAGCTAGGATGGTGGCTACTTACATACGCATACATACATACATACCAACCGTCAACATACATCAAAGAGTAGAAAGGAATACCATGTGGATAAATTGAGATACACAAAAGCAAGTATTGATCGAATCATCTGTATATATTTGCCCAACTTCAATTTGCAATAATTGTAAAATGAATGTTTTTGTCTTGTGGTCGTTCTTAATACTAGAACAACTGTCGTTTATAGTGTATTGCTTTCTTTTGAACCATTGGAACAAGGTAAAAGGACAATTCAATCTCACCCACTGTGATCAAATCGTGCTTTTATCAGTCGTGTTGGTATTCAATTTTGATTGAATTTGCATTGAGAATTGGGTTCAGTTTAATCGAGAATGATAGTTGAAAGTTGCTTTAAGTCCTGTCGTTTCCGTTGGTCGTTCTTCTCATCAATCTAATTTGTCTCCAAAATGTCTCATCTTTTGACTAGAATGCCTCAATCTAGCTATTATAATTTGTAGTTCGTTCTTAAAATTAAAAGCCACTCAGGCATTGCGTTCACATTGCACCGATCTGTGTGTTTGTGTGTACAAACTTAAAACAAAATCGCAGGAATAACATAAAACTAAAATAATGTAAAAAGTCGTCTTGAGCGTTGCATCTACCACCAGGGCAGACGCGTTTCTTAGTTGGACTTTTTGGCGTCCTTGGACTCTTCCTTGGCCTGTCCGCGGCCGAGGATCTTAGCCAAACTGTCCCAGATACCACCGAAGAACAATGCACAGCTCAGGTTCTCGAATGGCACAAATGGATCGTGAATGCCGAGCAGTATCGACGACAGCTTGAAGTAAACCAAGAAGATCACAATGCCGAAGTAGACGAGGGCATGTGGAGCGGAGATCAGGTCGGTCTTCTTGTCCAACACGAAAATAATGGATGCAATCAGCGAGGCCTTAGTGTAGCTGAAAGATTAAATTGTGTTAAATCATGGCTGTTGCTGTAGATGAAGTCAAATGTATATAATTACAAGCTTGGCTGCAAGAATTCCATGGCAGTTGGAGTCCATACACCGCGGATCAATCGTTCCAGCAGCTTGGTGAAACCAGCTCCATTGCCCTTCAGAGTACCGATGATGATCATGATGATGAACGCATTAGGGTACAACTTGGCAGCATGGGTCACACCATCGTGGATCTACAAATAGAAACTTCGTTAGTATGGAGCTAAATGTGGAAGATCAACAGTCCCAACCTTCTTGGCGCGATAGATTTCCTTCATGGCACTGGCAACCAGCTTCACTGGCAAGAACTTGGCAACCTTGTAACCGATGTCGAATGGAGTGTAGAAAACAATGTACCAGCAAGCCGTGGCCACGAGCAACTGTGGGGTGTTCTTCAACGGGGCAAGGATCGGTTCTCCCAGCAGTCCGTTCGCGACCATTCCACCGGCAAAGACAACCAGCATCGTTGATAGCCAGCATGCAAGCGGGTGCTTGCGGGAGAATGCTTGCGCTCCGGCACCGAGATCCTCCTTAACCGACAAGGCGCACAGTAAACTGTGCGCAATGTCGAAGTAGGGGAACATCTTCAGCTTTATCACCTGATTGGCGATATCGAGGAATGCTTCCGGATCCATGGTCGGTGTTTTTGTTGGTCGAGTTCGATTCCACAAGCGCTAGTCTGCAAAAGGGACGCAAGCGAATTTAAGCAATGCTTTAGAGCTTCCTGATTTGAATTTGCAACAATGAGTGCGAGCCACTTAAAGAGTAGATTTGTCGTCCCTAATTTAAATTATACTTTCGCTGAACACTGAACTGTGTGCGTGTATTGAGCCCGGAGATGAAGTAGAAGTCTGGCACCCACCATATAATTTTGACTGAATAGGAACGGCGTTAGTAGACCTTCTGAAATGACCACAATTATTGATTACCAGTGTACATTTCGATCCATTCAAAAGTAAAAATACTTTCCATCCAATTTCAATAATTCAAAGCGAAGCTAGGCCTATTTATAATGCCTGTTCAGTTCAACATTGATATGTTTGATCAAATATTGTTGGAGATTTGTGTTCATATTGGATAGAGTGCAATAATTGTCAAGCTCCGCATTTCTTAATATTGCCTGTTAAGATAAAATCCGTAACGCTTTGCTATTAAAATGTTTCGCTAGTTTGTGCTTTACCGGCAATATAAAAAAAAAAACAAAAGTTAAATTTGAGTACTTCTACCTACGCCACAGGCATTTTCGCGGTGTATGAAATAAAAATCAAGCAATATGTATGAACAATTGCACATAAATGTTATTGTTAATTTCCTCATGTGTAGAAGTTAGCACAAGTCCTGCTGCACCAACATTGTAAATAGTAGCACTTCAAACAAACAAAACCTACGTCATAAATGAAATAGGTATTAGTCTCAAAGAAACTTCTGCACGACTACGTAACGTGAACAACACATTATTTCTTCATTAGCATTCTATTTTTCACTTCACCAACTGGGAAAAAATCATCGGCTAGCTACGTGGTTACATTTTCACAAACCCACGCTTCAGGTTATGATCCTATGTACACACACAAACCTGGCCGTGAAAATCGTTCACCTCACACTTGACTTTCGCGAGGACGATGTCACCGAAAATTTCTCCTCTCCCTCTTAACACGTTTTTCTTCCTGGGTGTCGGCCGACACCAGGCGAAATCGATCACGCGTGGATTTGGTTGTAATAAACCCAAATATTCGATACTTATCCAGGTTTTTCACGAACGTGTTCTCCGTTTTCAAATGCACCAACACACGCACAGACCCAAATTTCCCCAGTCGGTCTAAACTTATCCTACTGCTCTGAAGATCACAGTTTAGTAGCGTACCGTAGCACACGTCCGCACAGGCCGAGCTCCAGGGGCGAAAAGAGTCAGAATTCACGCACGATCCCCTGCCAGACTGCCAGCTAGATCTAGCTCGGAGCCTCGGTCTGGGTTCTGGGTGCAACTTTCTAATACTTTGAGCGCAAATGCACTCGATGCAGAATTAAATATGCAAAATTAAAACGTACTTCTCTGGATAGATAGGAGGAAGCCTCTCGGGAAGGAGAAGAATTTTCCTGCTGCCGCTTGCTAGACGAATTTTCCGTACACTGCCTTCAGTACACACACGCATACGTACGCACTCCGTGAGCAACCCGGCGGCGGTGCTTTTCAGGGGGGTTCTAAATTTAGCCCACACGAAGAGGTAATCGTCTTCAGAAAGAGAGAAAAAGATTCGTTCTTGCTTCGTGTACTGCGCCAAGAAGATCGGTTAGTGCACGCGCACTTTCTTCCTTGTGATCGCGTCGTGACGCCATCATCACTATATTAAAAAGAAACCGTTGGCACTCACGTGAGCGGAGAAGCGAGAAGATCTCAAGTTCTCGCGGAGAACTTAGTAAGGCGATAGTTAATTGAGTTTAAGCACTTTGAGTATCTATTCGTACCCTTTGCAGCATATAGGGGAAAGTGGGGCAGTTTGGTTACATTAAGAAAATCATCACTAATTATACAAAATTCAGTGGAATATTCGAATGATGTTTAACCAAATCGATAGTTTCAAGTCTAGCATTTAGCATTAGCATCGAACAAGTTGCACAATATCGTAGGTGGTACAAATTCAAAACTATTAAGAGCAAGACGGATATCTATTACTGGACAGATAGTAAGTAAGAAATAATTACTATCTCCCAGATAAAGATATATCCCGCTCCAACAGTTAAGGATTGTCCTGACCACGTCCTTACAACTGGTAGGGATAGGAAAGGTATGTTAGTCCAACATTTACTTAAGAGAGATGCAGAGAACTCTACGACCCCTCATAAATGTCTCGGGAATTTAGGAATTATGTTAGTAGGGAAGGTAGACCATAGGATACACCCAGTCAGTTTCAAGCCCTATTTACATCATGAATACAAATTGAATATTAAAAGTAGAAACTTTTGAATCTTATGCAAGGACATTTAAAAAAATCGTTTTGTAACCGAAATAAAACCGTTGGGGTACAATGAGTCAGCAATGAACAGTTTTAGCATAAAAAGATTTAATATAAACAATTGTTTTCTGTAGAATAAGTTAAATTTAAGAAGTACTGCCTATTTAAGGCTATATTTTTTCAGTCTTGCCGTCTTGCCAATGACTGATTTGTCACCAAAGCAGCTGTTTCAAAACGTTATTTCGAATAATATAGTAAAATTTATGAAAGGAATAATGCAAAATTGAAGAATTTAAGTTGAAATATCACTGGTGCTAATATTCCCTGCGCTTTGGTCAGATAGCGTATAGGGCGTCGTTGTGACAATTTGGTCGTGGCACATTTCGAGAGTCACATGGTGATTGCAGTTTGCTCAAAGGTGCCTGAGTAAAATGCAAGTACTTTTGATGACTACCCGTAGTTGTTACAATGAAGAATACACCCATATTCTCGTTTATATCTGAACGTGTTTGCCATACAGAAACATTTTTATTTTATTTTGTGTGGTGGATGGGTTTCGGGTGTTGACGGGCATATGGATGATAATATTTAGTTTACGTTAGGATAACGTTGAAAAATTGAGAAATGTATCGCTTCACTTCGCAACCGATGAACCATTCTGACGGCCCACATTGCCGTGCAGGCGCCGTGTGTTGGCAGGGTCCAATATTGGACAGTTTGATGTTTATAAAGTACCATCAGTTAAAACTGTATTTTTGAGCTTTATCTCTATACATTCTTAGGTGTTTCTTAACAGATTATCATGTTTTTTTTTTTTTTTTTTTTTTTCCTTGGATTTGTTTTCCGTCGATCTTGTTTTCCGTGCTGAGCACCAATGCTACCGACGCCAGGAAGGCAGCTCCCACACCTGGACCCTACCACCTATCGACCCATCAACTCATGAACCGGGGACCAACGGCTTTACTTCCCTTCCGAAGGAAGGCGTGATCAGAGATGTTATGCCTCAGAACATCCCGGCGGCGCCGACTGGGATTGAACCCAGGCCAGCTGGGGTGAGAGGCAATCACGCTTACCACTACACCACCGGCACCGCTAGCAGATTATCATGTTGGTGTACGCTGATTCAAAGAGTAAAAGGTATTAACATTGAGCTGTCCATAGTTGGGCTTTGTTGCACTTGTGTTACTTGCACAACATTTCATGTGAGTACTAAAGAAACCATATAATCACAAATAACTTTAAATGTAGGTTCAAATGGCACTGAGATATGGTTGGTTGGGTATTCAGATGAATCTATTACTTTAAAAAACTAATCCTGGTTGTATCTCTTTTTCTGTTTGAGATTACTAACCGCACCGAGCGTTCATACCGGGTGGTAAGCGAACCTGAAGAAGAAGAAGCTGACTATACAGGATGAGTGGTACCATGAGGCCCTTCTCGGAACGAGTGTATTGTTGATGAACCTGGCCTACGATTCAAGGTTGGATTCTGTGATGAAAAGTATCACATAAAAGGTAAAATAGGTAGCATCATCTTTATCGAAATGTAAATATTATTGACAATAATCATAACTAGATGATATGCAAATTTATGCGTTAATTCTGCATTTCAACACCTTTGCCTCTCCTTTCTCTTATCCTTGAACAATGCATCTACGCTTCTATGATAAGGATCAACTTAACCCTTATTCAATCGACTCGCATAAGTCATTATCTAAGAACCATCTCATCTTTATCTATTTGATTGCTGCATGGAAGGTTTATAATTGGTTATCACCATTACACTGGTACCAGGCTCAATGCCATCTCCAGCATGGCACAATAACAATAAATATCATTAGTGCTCATATTGCCCCGAATGGACTTAAGTTATATTTTCTTAAGAAAATCTTTAATTCTTATTAAAATGTAGAAAACATCTTGTCATATAAGAAATCATTCGTAAATTAGGTTGGACATCATTTCCTCTTCCATCATATGCATGCTTATAAACATACAAACATTAAGAGAGCGACGTGAATATGCAATGGTTTCGTTTGTAAACGATATCGTTTCGCAGCGCATTAACTTAGTAGAACTTTTATCAAAATTAATTTTTTATGCACCTACTCGACAACTCAGAAATCGAAATTAATTTGCAATAACCCATCATCGCACAAATTATGCAAAATTTGGGCCATTAAATCGCATGATGGCGTCTTACAATCAATATTGGCAAACCATTGACTTTTCAATGTCTCGGCATAAACTAAAACAATATTTTAACTCCACACGGAATCATAACTCGTAAGAAGTAAAAATAGAATAGCAGACATTTTTTTTATTCTTAAGAAAAACAAATTTGTATATGTATTTGTACTAGTCTACATCTATTGATGAAATAAATAAATAAAAATAAACCAATGCCATTTACAAAGCAGCTGAATGAATATCAACGATAAGTTCTGAGAAACTACTGATAGACCTTACTTTCTGATTCAGAAATCTTATAACAGTTTTTACCACAAACGAAGTGACAGACGACTAACTGGCGAAGAAATCAATTAAAATAATGTGGTTCGCTGTAATATAATTTTCTTAGAAGCTTGTGCCATCATCCACCAGATGGGATACTATTTTTGTTTTAGTTTTGCACAAAGTTGATTTTGTGTACAATGATTCTTTGACAGTTTGCACACTGTATGTGTATCATTTTGTCATTTTTTTATGCATTTCAGTTTTGAGTAGAGTGAAAGAGATAGAACCAAAACATTCTAGTACATTTAGTGAAAATGCTAGTTCAATCCAGTAGTAGCAACAATCAATACGAAACTAACGATTTTAAATTGGCTCACCACTTTAGTAGCCTATTGGTCCCAAGCAAACGATTAACGTACCCTATTCTAGTTGAAATTCTATTACTACACTATGTTTGTTTTGATTCGCTATGAAAGTTTGACAGATAACATCAGGGGTGTGTGGATTCATGCAGAACATGCAGGGGTGAGTGAAATAGCTTGGGACTGCTTGGGACCGTTGTTCTGGTACTGAGTGAGCCAAAAATAATAATGATTTTCTTCGGGACCCAGTGGTCTTAGAGTTACCTCTATGGTAGTAGTGTTGCCATGTGGTACACCGAAAAATTGCAATAGCAGGTTAGTCACCAAAGTTTTCGAGCCGCTCCGTCTGTCACTTAGTTTGTGGTTTTGACGGGCTGCAAAATTGTGAGTTGACAACCTGCAAGGAGCGTGGTACCTAGCTGCGGTCCTCACAAGTCCCTACCTCACGTCTCCACGAGTCATGGACACATAAGTCATGGGTGGCGTAACCTAGGCAATGTTGTCAATCCGATAATAGCAAAGTAAGGAGGTGCGGCGTGAACACTGGCACGATAATCGAAGCACGGTGTTAGAGGAAATACTTCGCCAACCCGAGCGTCCACCACGGAGGACAGAAACCAACAGAGAAAGAAAAAAAAGATAAAGAATTGGAACTAGATGCACATGAGGATCCAGTGGAGGTGCCAAGGTGTTTTTATCCTAGGCAAAAGGTAAGCTCGAAATTCGCTATTATCATCGACCGTAAAAAATAGGGGAAAAGTTGGCTTCGGCAATACCTTAACCTATTACCGTCAGGGGGTAAACAACGTCCTTGAGAGCTCAATTTTGGCATGTGGATACATTGTGTTTCAGAGCAACTATTGGCCAAATTTGAGTGCTCTAGGACTTTGTTTACCCCCCTGACGATAATAGGTTAAGGTATTGCCGGAGCCAACATTTCCCCTACATGAATTATCGCGAATCTTAATCGTTCGTTACGTACCAAAAGATAATTTAATCGTACTTTGATGCGAAGCACTGTGGATTGTGAGATGGGTTTAATCCCCAGCTCTTCTTCATGACTCTTAAAATGCATGATCACTAAACTAAATGAATATTTTCTTTCGACATTCGACTATCGAAAGATTAAATGAGCTACACATAAACAATATATACTATTGGTTGCATCGCCAGCTTGAGGAATCCTAACCGAATACCCTACCCTACCCTCCAACTCCGTAGCACTTATGAGGGTGTCGCTAAGTCGGTGGCCTCTCATTAAGGAATTAAGTCATCAACATCTCCTTCCCTTTCCCTAGTTATGGTAAATATGGGTGTGACCGGGAATAGCGACAGTCATGCTTCTATTACTCTTGTTTAGATTGGAACCAATGTTTACTCCCCAGCATTATTCCTGAAAGTAGTCTAATAGTACGTTCAGACTACAGAGTTATAACATGTTATCGCTATCTTGATGGTGGTTTCTGTGTTGCAATTATTTTCCAACCGTTATAACATGTTATAACTCGCCAGTCTGGACAGCGTTTAACTGAGAATTTGAAAAGAGTTGTGTGTTTCGCTGGTATCCAATCTACGAAAATCGAAGTCATGGCAAGCAATCAAACCATGTGATCCCACTTACCCCATATCCATTCACAATGCATGCTATATCTTATATTTGTGCATTTATTTTTTTGAAACTGCATTTTATTTTGGGATTTGCAAACTAATTGAATCATACCACATAACTTAAATTTGATAATGGACCATCCAATAAATGACGTAGCCAGTGATGGAAAAAATCGCATCGCATAACGTTCAATTTGAAATCATTTACAAACATGTTCTTGGAAATATTTCAATCTCAGTTATCATCTCTATGGAGAGTAACGCATTCCCGTGAATGAAGGAGAGAAAGCAAAAGAAAGATAAACATACGACAGCGATCATTGATGTTTTTGTTCATGCGTTGGTTCATTCCTACAATGCATTCATCGTTCTATGAATGACAGACAGAAGAATCGTTTATGAATGCATTCATTGATTCACAAAGATTGTTTACAAAACATTCATCTGGATCGTTCATAAGTTGGTTTTGTTTTTCTCGGCTTTGTTCACTGCTATTTGGATTAATTTTGCGATTTCAAGGTGCTATTTGATACCAGTGTGATATCACAGGTAAGTACTATTCAGGATGAAACTGAGCTAAACTGATACTTTTTTGCATTTTTTGAATGAAACGACGATGCACACAGAAATACACCATGCTGCAGGTCATTCAGCAGGAGGGTGGCAAGTTCTGCTGCAAGGCTGAGGAATCATGCGGATACAAGCAGGACACACTGATGCCCGGTAATTTCAAACGGCACTTATTCAAACAACATGCTACAGTATATGCTGCGCTGAATTTGCCGATGCCGTCAGCCGAAAGTGGATCAGAGCCGGTCAAGAAAAAAACAAAGAAGCTTCAAGTGGACTCCTCAAAGGATGTTATTCTTCTCGGCACATTACAACTTGCCACCGTAAACCACCTGCCATACTCGTTCCCGGAAATGAGTGGTTTCAAAACGCTTCTGGATCCGTTGTATAAAGCTGCAGGTATTACGATGAATCGTAGAATTGTGGCAGGAATGGTGGATGATTCCGCTATTAAAGCTCGGCAGCTCATTGCAAAGGAATTGCAGCAACAACCACTGCTAACGATTGAAGTCGATGGAGCTTCCAGAGGGAGTCGTCACTTTCTTGGCATCAATGCTCGAATCATTGTTGATGGTGAAGTTATCGTCCGCAATCTGGGTAAAGTATTAGCTCACATATCGGATGGGATATTACATAAATAATACATAAATCCTCGATGATCGCCGTAGTTCCGTATAATCACCGCTATTTCTCGATTGATTTTCAACCGATTAAGCTGATTTTTTGCATGTGAGTAAGGTTAACCGTCAACTTGTAACCTCCAGAAAATCAGCTTAGTGAGAAAAAGTGGTGAGTTGATGGAACCTCCTGATTATCAGAAGGAACGGGGTGTAAGTCAAACAGAAATTTCTACTATTGTAGTATAATATGAGCTGTAAATACTTATCAACATACCCCTCCCCCTCTAGAAATGTCTACGCAATATATGGGCAGCCCTTAACGTAAATGGAGTAGGTATATAAAATTATGATCAAAGTATCGATAACTGCATTTTACGCATGTCATGTGGACTGATACTTACACCACTTTCCGTCTAACCCCCTCATATAGTCTCAATTGTATGTAGGCAATTTGGTTAATGGCTCATAATTTGTTTACCACGTAACCATTGCACATTCCGACTTGATTAAGGGAGGTCCTGAAAAAATATAGTTTTTTTTGCTCTTAATTTAATTTTTATCATTTCTATGAACTTTTTAAGCTTAAAACGATTGTTATTTTTGCCGTTTTTAAATAAGGGTGTTCTTAAAATTATCGGTGTAGAAAATCCAGCTATTTTGTTTTAGAAAATAAAGACGCATGCTCTCCGAAAAAGTTGTAGCTGAGATAATTTGAAGCTATTGTTGTTGAATTTTTTTTTTACCTTTAATTAACCATGTTTTTATTACTTCATGCGTGAAGTTAACGATTCACATAGTTGGAAATGTTGAGTAGCTAAGATAATTTCAAGCTACTCTGTTATTACGGCTTAACGTTATCGTTTTTATTTTTTCCTTGATTTGTTTTCCGTCGATCTTATTTTCCGTGCTGAGCACCAATGCTACCGACGCCAGGGAGGCAACTCACACACCTGGACCCTACATATCGACCCATCAACTCATGAACCGGGGACCAACGGCTTTACTTCCCTCAGAGATGTTATGCCTCTGAACATCCCGGTGACGCCGACTGGGATTGAACCCAGGCCTGCTGGGGCTTAACGTTCTCATTTTAGAACAATTTTACTAGAGCATGCGCCTTTATTTTTAAAATGTAGTTTTTCTATGTTAATAATCTGAGGACCACCCTAGTTGTACAAACTACAAAAAAGGAGCTTTTCATGCTTAAAAAGTTCACAGAAGACACTTAACCTTTCAACATTAACATAAAGGCACTAGGTCTTTTGTCTTGCTAAATTGCCATCCCAAACCATTGTGCATTGGTGTTATTTTTTTTATATTTTTATTACTTTTTTTTAGCATTCATGTTTTATTTTGACAATATAGTATTTAACACTCGATTTTTTTTTTATTTTAGCAATTAAAGAAACACAAGAACGGCAAACAAAAGAACATCTCAAAAAGTTGATTGAGGACGTTCTGAGCGACTTCGGCGTTAAACTCCAACAAGTCTACTCGGTCACTCATGACAATGGAGCTAACATGGTAGCCTCAGTCGGGGAAATCAAAAAGATATTCGAGTCTGCTCACATCAAAGTCTATGATACGTATCTCGATAACGCCTCACAAATAGACGATGACACTTCTGACTCGGAGGACCAGCGCATGGATGAAAGCATAGATGAAGATGATAACTCCGACGATGAGAACGACGATTTCGTAAATGGGAAAGATGGTGACAACGTTATTTCTGAGGCAATTCCCGTGGCAGATGACTCTTTCGACGTTAATATGTCTGATATCTTAGGCAGCGTACGTTGCGCTGCTCATACTGCTCAACTAGCTGTTTGGGATGTGGTAAAACCATACGAAAAACGCATTTCGAAGATTCAAAAACTCGTTGTAAAGATGCGGCAACGAGAATATTATAAATTTACGAAACTTCACGATGCTCATTTACCACCGTTAAGCAACAAGACACGTTGGAACAGCACCTTTGTCATGTTGAATTCTCTGTTGACACAGAAGTCATTTTTCACCATGGTTAAGAAATCGTATCCAGAAGTTGGTAAGTACCTAGATACGCTACTTGTTTTTAATAAGTATATAGAGAAACCATGAAGAATTACTCAACTACAACCTACAACAGGCAGCCATTACCCTATACAGGGTGATTCGGAATAACTGTCCCTTTTTAAAATGGTCATAACGATTGAACGCTTGCATGAATTTTTGATATCATTATATTCCAGATATTCTACATATATAATCTTCAACTAAGCATAGTTTATTTCAAATCTCTCTCCCTTTACCTTAATTATCAGCCACATTTGTCATGAAAATTAACCATAGCTGGCACGCACGCTTTAGTTCCAGCACTTTTTGAGTCCTGGTGATGCGTTTAAGCTCTGATATTGAACGGATTTTCCAAGCATGCTTCCTTCGTACCTCTATAATGATGCAAAAATAAATGTTACATTCTTGCGAAGAGATTTCAGTTTCTAAAAGATAACACACGATTTTTTAAAGATTTATGCCATTCTTCATTTTGACGTCAATGGCTGCTTGAAATCACAAACGAATGAAATTTCAAATCCTACTATCAATACAAGCTGATATTTGTACACACTTAAAACAAAAATACTTGAACATATTCCCATTTTACCCATTGAGAATTGCATATTTGTGAAATCGGTGACAGTTATTCTGAATCACCCTGCATTAAAAAAAAACACTTGTTTTTTAATCTATTGAAATACACAATCCACGTTTTACATTTTATTGCAGATTTTACTTCACACTGGAAGTTTATCGAGAAGTTTTGTGAAGCATTTGAAGCACCATTTGTCCTTACTTTGCAGTTGCAAAAACAACATGTCGATCTGAGTGAGTTTTACGCATGCTGGTTGATATGCCAGGCTAAGCTAACGAGATTGGCAAATAACTCTTTGGCCAAAAAACTTTTGAAAGCATTTCAAAAGCGTTTGCAAAAACTCACTGAGAGCATGCAGTTCAAGGCATGTATCTTCCTTGATCCCCGCTTCAATTTCCTGGGATCCAAGAGAATTTCTTCGAATGATAAAGAACAGATCCAAGTATGTATAAAAACCATATATTGTTTCTAGATGAAGTTTTCGGCATAATTCTTTGTTCATTCCTTGGTAGCCGATTTTTGGTAATAAATATACCATTTGTGGTCAGTACTCTTAATATCAAAAACCAGGCAAAGAATTCGTAAAAAGGGATACCGGCTAAAAGTTCATCCACAAACAACGTTACCACTCTATTAAAAAGGCAAACAAAACAAGAATTCTTGCAAGAGCACGGTGGTTGGTTCAGTTCTCCCATAGTTATTTCTTGGCTATGTTCCATCCAATTAAACTGATTTTTTCCTACGTGATGAGTATCAACCTAATATATGCTCATCACTCATCCATTCACCGTGCTATTCGATGGCTACCTGTAATAAATCTATAGAAAAGCACCTACTGCATTACAAATTGAAAAAAAAATTACTCAATATTCTCAAAATCCCTTTAATTCGATAGTACATAGATAGAAAGAAATTGCGGTGGGTGGACGGCACAACATACTGTGTAAATTGAGGGTTCCTGCATATATATTTTTGCTCGATTTTTTGTGCCATTTAATATATTCAATATGTTGACTTCATGTTGAGCATTTTATTGTTGCTATCAGACCATAACAATTCTTATGGTGTAATATAATGTTGCAGGAATTTCTCATCAAACTCCATGGCTGTGTAAATGGAAAAGCCGACGATTCCAGCGATGTTTCAAACAACGACATAAACGAAGATGATCTGGAGATAATCTTGGCAGGATTTTTTAATGAAGATGCACAAGGAAACTCATCGATGACCAGCAAATGTTCCATTGCTCAGAAAATTAAGCAGCTCGAAATGAGGGAGAAGGTACCTATTATTGAAACTTCACGTCCAGGATCATCTAAGAGCAATGAACCACCAGCTCATTTTGATCTGGTTAAATACTGGGAAGCTCAAAAATTCATCAATCCCGAGCTTTACAGAGTTGCGATGATCGTTCTGTCAAGTTCAGCTACACAGGTTTCAGTTGAACGTGGATTTAGTGCACTGAAGCTTATGCTATCTGATCGCAGGATGAACCTAACAGCAGCATCCGTCGAGAATTCTCTCTTGCTAAAACTCAATCCAGACCTTCTCCCTAAGATTTCTCTGTTGATGAGTGAGGAAGACGACTGAAACTGATGTGATTTAGGCTGCTTTGATTATGGTTCTGTTGAATATAAATAAATCTTTCGAACTGGCTGGAATTATTATTATTTTTTAAAAGGTTGCTCCCCTAGCAAAGTTGGAAGTTTTATCAAGGTTTGAAAGCATTCTACAAGTCAAAATCATGGTCTACAAAACCCTCATAAAGGTAGGGAAATATTTGTTGGTGATCGTGAGCTCTTATTCGCGAGAAATAAGCAATTGAAAACATTGTTTACAAAAGCATTTCGCTCCATTTAGGGTAGGTGTTCTAGTCACCCAAGTAACAATTCAGTAACCATTGGGCATCCACTCTGATTTATTATGGTTTTTAACGGTAATGAACAATCCATTTAGTTTAAATTCAGCATTTCAAAGTGAAAAACATTCCTGTAATTCAGCTTTTTGCTGTTTTAAAAACCTTTTATAGTCTAGCAAAGAAGTCATAAACAGTATTGTTTTAAAAATAAATTTAAAACAGTTCTTAATCCCTCCTTTAAACTTACATTCTTAGCTGAGTGGTGCGAAGACGGACCTCAAAATCGAACCACTTTCGAGCTGTCAAATCGAACCACTTTTTTTATCATTGTGGTTCGTTGAAATAGATAGAAGTATTGTTATCGTCCAAAATAAAAAATAAATATTTTTCAGTAATGTTTTTGATCTTTTTAAAAACGTGATTCGAAACGACTCAAACAATTAAAAATAACAGTATTATTGCGTATTTTGGACCAAAGTAGACTCCTGCGCTGAAAAAAACCCCTCCGATTTTTTTCGCTCAGGAACGACTGTGACTTCGGAGAACGTTCTAAGGAGATTTGTGATGATAGTACAAAAGTTCCAGGAAATTTCAACAGATTTTTCCCGCGACAGAAGAGGTTTCAGTGGATATTTTAGTTGCTGCCAGCGAGGTTCTACGGGGGTTCTATAGAGTTTTCATGTTCGAGTTTCACACGATTTGGAGGGAAGTCAAATCGTTGCCATTGGAGGTCCCAGGGAATTTCGACAGCACTTTCATAGATATCGTCCATCTTTATAATTGCAAAAGTGAGCAAAACACTTCATTCTGAATCCTGATGAATGTGGGCGTCTTAGTGGAATACCTGTATAATGAGAGAGAAAAGGATTAGTATTTTCCATTTAATTCCACTACTTTATTTGCTTATCCTTGACAGATACGCGTATTTCGTCTACAATGTGCAGACTTCTTCAGTGTCTTGTACTAATACTCGACTGGTCGAGTATTAGTACAAGACACTGAAGAAGTCTGCACATTGTAGACGAAATACGCGTATCTGTCAAGGATAAGCAAATAAAGTAGTGGAATTAAATGGAAAATACTAATCCTTTTCTCTCTCATTATTCATTCTGAATTTTATTCCACTCCGTAAAAACTTCAGCTATGAACAATGTCAACAAACAATCACAAAGTCACGAATCGGCTCTGCACAAAAAACCGTTTGACACTTCTCTCTACCAACCGACGGTGATGAAACGTTTATTTCAACACTACCAACATGAAGAAAATTTCACTTCGCACCACTCAGATTCTTAGTTTTTCAATCTATATATCCTTGGATATAACTATATTTTGGTAAATTTAGCAATGAGCAAACTTTTAAATGCGAAAATCCAAAAAAAAAATCTCGGCCAAGCTCGATCTGAAGAATAATTGTTATTTTCAATGTAAATTAATTAGTCAAATCGACGTTTTACGAGGGCGGATTCATTTTTTTCGATGTTTTCACGTACATTTCACATAATATCTAATAAGGCACTTAGATACAATGAGAACTATTGTAATAAATTTGGATATTCCACAAGATGTTTATACCATCAGTTTCTATTTTAATTATTTTGATAAGCTCAGATTCATAAATCCTCTTCTATCTTGATTGATGCTTTCCTAGTGGAGCGGCTAGGGGAAATGGCTAGGAAAGGGTTTTTATTGTATATTATAGCTTTCAAATGGTTTTCAATGCGTTCGAGAGCTCCGAGAATACATTCTTCAGAACTTTCTCCAGGGTGGGCCAACTAGACATATTCTAGTCTTAATGAGGTTTTGGTGGATGCATTAATGATAAAATAGCCTTGACCAGGGTTTTATGAATGTTGTTTTATAGTTGCTTTGTAGTATTTCATAAAACATAAAATGTTACTTAGGCATAGTGGTGTACCTATAGTTGCGGTTTCGGGGTTGTGCCGGAATGGTGAGTAATACACGGATAAGATTATTGTTTATCGGTAGCTCTCCTAAAATAAAACATATTTGCATATTTCAAACTTAAAATTAGCCCAAAAAATGTTGGAAATTTATTAATTTTCCGTAAGATTTTCACTACTTTGCACTAATAGTTGTGGTAGTATTTTTATAATAGTTGAATCCATAAGAACCTAACGCATTCCACTATTATATTAACCAAAGATAGGAACTATCATTACTACTGGAACAGTGTTCCTATTAATGGAAGACGAGTTTTCAAAAAAAGTATGAACTTTTATTGCAATGTGATATTTTTATAGCAAAATAAAGCATTAGATTGACGTATAAAAGCTTGTGTGTACATTACGTAACATTATTCCTGAAGAAATCAATTCAGGAGAATACGAATGAATAACAAATATAATTGGAAAAGTGAGCCAGTTTTTGACCCTACCGGTTCTCTTATTGGCCCTATCTTAATTGCCAATATTTTCATTATTTTATAAATTTATATCGATACAAGTTTGGAACAAATATGTTACCATTATCTATGAAATTGAATCCATGAAAATTATTTCCAATTTGATTTAACCCTACGGCCGAACACTGAAACTTTAGTACCATAACTAGCACACTTACCCTGTTTTGTTATCAAAACAGTATCCCTCATGTCTTGATAACGCGAAATTAACGATTTCCGTATTTTACGTAGGGTTTCAGATAACCTCGTCAGTAAAGGCACGATATTAGCAAGCCGGAGGCAGCGAGTTCGGTCGAAGGAATCTTTCGAGTTGTTGGTTTGCATAGAAAGCTCTCAATTAATAACAGTATGTTGAGAGTTCGCAATGCGCTCCCTACAGATGCGTAAAAATTCTAGAAGACGGATACGAAGTGCATCTAGAAAATTTTGTTACGAACCGAAAAACAAAACTTGCTAAATAAGCGCAAACAGCTACAAGCCTAGAAGAATAGCATTTGCGACTTTACTTCTATTCCATTCTACACACAAATTCATGAATGCAATCTTGCATTCATATGGATTCATAAATTTGATTCACGAATGATTTTTTAGAAAGCAATCCTATTGACGAGTGCACGGATGGATTTGAGTTCACTCACTCGACAAAAAGTGACACAACAGCGGGGCCCTGTTTACTAAAAATGAACACATGTGTTCATTTTTAGTAAACAGGGCCCCGCTGTTGTGTCACTTTTTGTCGAGTGAGTGAACTCAAATTCATCTGTGCACTCGTCAATGACTCAAATGATTCCTAATGAATGTGGATAAAGCGTATGTTGTTTTGTTAGAGTCATTCAGGCGCTTCATTTGCTGATTCATGAATTCATCGGTATAAACAATCTACAGAGTTCATTGGGAGAGTTTTTATGCGGCTGGGAATGATCGAAAAAGAAACGTCAAGCAAAGCATACAGTCAGCAAGAAGAATTCAAGTGAATGAAATTTTCCATCCTTGGACGTAGCTTATTCTTGACCAATTTTAGACCCCCTTTCATCTCGTACCATACCTAATACATGGCCATTAACAACTTCTGAAATATCTCCCTCCTCCCTCAAATCGAAGACAACAAACCAAGAAGACTGACAACTCTTCCATTTTCTCATACGAACGCTTCTTGATATGATGTCATTTTCGTGTGGCAGGTTTGAAAGAAAACTGTTGATTTTTTCGGTTCCACTTCCCCCACACGAAACGAAAATCAATTATTTTATTCATGTGTTTCACTTATACATATTTGCCAAAACATCAGCCTTATACCTTCCATAAGATAAACCACATAGGTCATATAATAATGCATAAAAGGTATGTGTTACCGCTTATAAATTTCATTTGTCACATGATCTTCATTAAATTTTTGCAAGGCGTCTGCTTAATAGTTGACTTATACATTTTATGAATAATCAGCAATAGAATTTGCCAAAAGGTATCAGGAGATTTCTATCCGTGGTAGTGTTGTAGGTACTTTAGTTGTTTATGGTTAGATCGGAATTGAAAATTACTCAACCGATTCCAGTAACTTTTCGTAGGGAATAAAGACAGCGTTTCTCAATCTATGGGTCATAACCCACCGGTGGGTCGCGTGCTGTCGCAAAAGTTCCGATCATGTTGTCAGGAAAATTTATCGCAATTTAAAATTAATATTATTAATGGTTTGTAATATATCGGTCTACTTTATTTGAATTAAACTGCGTATTGGTAACCATAAAAATAATGATATATTAATCGTAAAACTATAACAGATATAATAAATTATTATGCGAGGCAAGTAGACAATGGTTTGGAATTGTGAATTGTGTCCAATGTGACACTGGGCGCTTGACATAACCATCATTGTACTTGTTTTTGAATTCTCATGTGATTTGAGTTGTCACAAAATGGGTTTTAATCCAATTTAGAAACTGGCCACTTCGCCGGGGGTACTCATAAAATGTCCGGATGTGTCCAACGTGGTCCTGGGCACTTGATATAACTACCATTGTACTTGTTTTTGAAATAGTCATGTGATTTGAGGTGTCGGAATAATGGCTTTTGGTCCAAGTCAGAAACTGGTCACTTCCCCGGGAGCAGGGTTGCTTCCACTCACTTGCTATAAAAAAACGATTTTCTGAATTTTGAAATCATTCGATGTTATAATGATATTTTGTACTTGTTAGATACAAGAAGCGGATGAAAGGCAAGTGTTTGACTCATAAAACCTGTCAATTTTGCTACCAGAGTGTTACAATAAGCGATTTTATGATTCGTGAGCGTTCACTCTGAGTGAGCGCTCGCGAGTCGTAAAATCGCTGATTGTGACTATCTGAAAGCGAATTGGACAGGTTTCATGTGTCAAACACTTGCCTTTCAACCTCTTCTTGTATCTAACAAGTACAAAATATGATTATAACATCTAATGATTTCAAAATTCAGAAAATCATGTTTTTATAGCAAGTGAGTGGAAGCAAGCCTGCCCGGGAGTATCCG